GGAAGGAAGGAAGGAAGGAAGGAAGGAAAGAAAGAAAGAAAGAAAGAAAGAAAGAAAGAAAGAAAGAAAGAAAGAAAGAAAGAAAGAAAGAAAGAAAGAAAGAAAGAAAGAGGGCAAACAGATGGGGAGGGAGGGAGGCTCTCCCACCCACCCCAATCAAGCCCCTGCCCAGGGCTGCTGGGAGCAGGGGGCGGGGCTTGTTGCATGTGCCCGTCCCCTGGGCACTCCTGTCTGCTCCTGGGCACTCCTGCAGGAAATGACCCCGATGTTAAGTGCCGTCAAGTTGCTTCCCTGCGAATGAATGTCCTCCAGAATATCCGGTCATTAACAGGTCTAGTTCAGGTCTGGTAAACGGAGGGTCGGTGGCTTCCTTGCCTGAGTCCATCCATCTCATGTTGTGTCTTCCTCTTTTCCTGCTGCCTTCAACTTTTCCTAGCGTGATTGTCTTTTCCAGGGACTCCTGTCTTCTCATGATGTAACCAAAGTAACGATAGCCTCAGTTTAGTAAGTTCAGCCTCTGGGGAGAGTTGAGGCCTTTTTTTTTACGAACCTCAAACGGAGTGTCCTTTAGGACCCTGATAACTGTTGCTCCCAGCTTCAGAGGACATGCTGCTGTAGCTTTACTGTAGTCTGTCTTCGGAGAAACTTGACAACAATTTCGCCCGGCAGGTTATTCCGCTTTATATATTTTGAGTATGTGCGATAAGTCACCTCAATTTCCGATTCTGCTTCTGCCGTTGACACCCCCACTGCTGACGCGATGAGCTCAGCCATTAGCTTTTTCAAGTTTTCTCCTTGCGATTCAGCAATCTCCTGAAATCTGAGTGTTTTATTCGCTTTCTCCATCTGCAGGTTCAACAACCTTCTTTCCTGAAAATCTTGCCTCTGTTCCAGCAGACCAATCTTCTTTTTTTAACTTAATTTTTTATTATAAGAAATTCAATAAATTTTTACAAATATAACGAACCTTTTTCTTTTTTCATACAACAAACTCTGTATCCAGAAAACTGTAGAATTAAGCATAGAAATAACTATTATCTGAATGCACATTCTCCTAGAATAAGATATGATAAAGTATAATCCTAATTTGTATGTATTGTGTTTAAGTGAGGTGATTGTGGGAACTATCTTGTGTCCTTACTGTTGTTTAAAAGTTAAGCCATTCGATGTAAGCTGGGTTAGATGGAAGGAAATCTCTTTCTGTCATGTACTGTAAGTATTCGTACCATGTTCTGACAAACTTGGAACAGCAGACCAATCTTCTTTTTAACTTTCTTAGTGTCGTGTACAGTCTCTTTAAGTTTCTCTTCTGTTTGTATAGATTTCTTTATTAGCTCGGCAATCTGCTGTTGCTGCTTTGCCAGGTTTTGGTTTGAAGCGGTCATCTGTTGGTTAATACCATCGAGCCTCTCGTTAATCGGCTTGAGCAGCTCCGATAACATGGAGAACACATCACCCATCTCCTCGCCTCTCGGACTCTGACCACCTCGCCCTGGGCCCTCTGCCCGGTTTTCCTCGCGCGCCGGCCATTTTCAACTTTGTTTACACTAGAAGGACCTCTTTCACCCTTCTTCAAAAGAAACGCATGGGAGAGTTGAGGCTTGATTTGATCTAGAAGCCACATATTTGTCTTTTTGGCGGCCCAAGGTATTTGCAAAACTCTCCTGCAATACCACATCTCGAAGGAATCGACTTCCCTCCTGTCAGCTTTCTTCGTTGTCCAACTTTCACACCCATACATAATGGAGAATAACGGAGAATACTGTGGCATGAATTAACTTGATCGTGAACCAAACCATCAGTGTGGGAAAATTGTGGCTCCTAAGAACATAGATGGTTGTCATTCCTTAAAGAAAGTGTAGGCCATTCCTGTACTTTAGAGAGAAATAAGAGTGTCTAGAAGGGGGTTCCTTGTAGTAGATGTAGGCAGGGGTCATTTCGTAGAACAAGAGGTGCAGGAGCTCATTAGCATAACATATTTGCATATGCCACACCCCCTGACATCACCGGAAGTGTGTCAGAAGGCAACACTCACCGCTCAGGCTCCACTGGACTGTTTTGGATTGCTAGTTATTGGGGGGGAGGGTGCATGAAGATCTGTCCTCACAGAGGAGGGAGAGCTTGTACCTGAATAAAACTTGGTCTTAAAGGTGCCACTGGACTGTTTTGGGTCGGGGGGGGGGGCTCTGCAACTTACCTGGCTGCTTCTTGCTCTGACTGAGGGCTGCTGGGAGCAGGGGGTGGGGCTTGTCACATGTGCCCGCCCCCTGGGCTCTTTACTGCCAGAGCTCCACTCCTGTGCGCTCCCGCAGGGAATGACCCCTGGATGTAGGGAAGGACAGAGAGAGCGCATGGTCCTGACCTTCCGGCTGAACAAGGAATGCAAAATGCATATCTGTCCTGCAGACCCAATAGTGCCTTTTGAGAGGCAGTGTGGTTGTGGCAGTTAGAGCGTTGGAGTAGGATGTTGTAGCACAGAGGTTCAAATCCCTGCTTTGACTTGGAAGCCTGCTGGCTGACCCTGGGCCAGTCACTTGGCTATGCCTTTTCCCCAAAGAATTCTGGGGAAATGTAGTTTGGAGAAGTGTTCTGGTAGAGAGTGCCAGGTCCACATCTCAGAACTGCAATCCCCCTGAACCGCAGTCCTCCTATCCCTAACCTAATAGAGGGGGGGCAACAGGGGGGGGCTCCTAGTGTCCTGGCCCCACTGGTGGACCTCCTGATGGCACTTGGTATTTTTGGCCGCTGTGTGACGGAATGTTGGACTGGATGGGCCACTGGCCTGATCCCACATGGGCTTCTCTCTTATGTTCTTATGTTCTTTTATCGCCTTGTAGGGTACCATGGTCGAAGATGCTTTAGCATGTCTGAAGAGGAATGTAAGCTTTGTGGAGGATGCCTACCCCAGAGCCTTGCTGGCGTACGTCTTCACATTGGCAGGGGACGCGGAGACACGGCAGCAGCTCCTGAGAGACTTAGGCGAACAGGCTGACCGAGAAGGTAGGAGGGATGTTTGCATTCACTAGATACTTCATTGGTTCCCAGTCAAATTATGACAGGTTCTGAGTGGCAGCCCTTTCCAAGGGGCATTGAGCACAAGTCTGCGTAGCTTGCTCATTGCCTCTGTTTCTGAAACAATACATCAGGCCAGGTAAGTTGCAGAGCCCCCCCCCCCGGCCCACCATCAGGTACAAGCTCTCTCAGTCAGAGCAAGAAGCAGCCAGGTAAGCTGCAGAGCCCCCTCGCACCCCTCGGTCCAAAACAGTCCAGTGGCACCTTTAAGACCAAGTTTTATTCAGGTACAAGCTCTCCCTCCTCTGCAAGGACAGATCTGCACCCCCCCCCCCAATAGCGAGCAATCCAGAACAGTCCAGTGGAGCCTGAGCGGTGGGTGTTGCCTTCTGACACACTCCCGGTGATATCATATGCAAATAAGTTATGCTAATAAGTTATGCTAATGAGCTCCTGCACCACTTTTTCTACCAAATGACCCCTGCCTCTGCCCAATGAAGCTCTGATGCTGCCAGTACAGTGAATGGGCCTAGAAGCCCTTCTGATTGTTCCCTTGATTGTTTGGGGCTTTCGCTCTTAGAATGTGGCACGTTTATTGTCTGGAAAAGGAAGGAGTCAAAAAGCACCTGATTGTTCCCTTGATTGTTTGGGGCTTTTGCTCTTAGAATGTGGCACGTTTATTATCTGGAAAAGGAAGGAGTCAAAAAGCATGAAGCCGAGTTGCCTGACAATGCGAAAAAACTCTGACGCGTTTGCCATTTCTGCCGTAACGGTACCTTAAAGACGGCTGCGGGAGCCAGAAGGAGCCCCCAGCGATGCCTACAGCCTTGAACAGAATTAAGATCACCCCTTTCTTTGCAGAAGGAGTCGTGTCCTGGTCCGATGTCGAGACATCTGCTTACGCCCTCCTGGCGTACCTCTCTCAACCAGAGGTGTCTGCAGATGACATCAAAGAAGCCTCCCAGATCGCAGCCGCCCTCGTTAAGGAGCAGAATCCATACGGGGGATTTTCCTCCACGCAGGTAACACATCGTCCGTTTTGCACAGGATGATGGGATACTTGATTGTGCCTCAGATGTACACTCCCCATTGCAGGCTTTGTCTTGGCGGGTGCGACTAAGAGCAAGAATGTATGTATTGCCAAGAAAGATGGTGGCACTGTTCGGAGAGACATAACAATGAAGACCAATGCTCCCTCTAAACAGTGGTGTCTTGTGAGCGAGTGATTTGGCCACTGCATAAATTAGTTTGCTCTGGAGCCCTCCTTCCTGCGCTAAGACAAAAATCTGTGAGCCGGAGGCTAAAAAACTGTGAGCTAGCTCACACTAACTCAGCTTAGAGGGAACGCTGGTTCCAACGTGGGTTTGCTTAAGCAACAGAGGGAAAAGCTAGTGCAGAACGCACCATTGCCCACTAGATTCCCGCTCACACCAAGAAACTGTTTTCTGCTCTGCCAGGACACGGTGGTCGCCCTGCAGGCCTTATCCCAGTACGCAGCCTTGACCTACCGTGAGACTGAAGGCGTCCGTGTGCTGGTGAAGTCCACCACGGGTTCCCAGCAAGAATTCCACGTGGACAAGGGGAACCGGCTGGTGCTGCAGCAGGCGTCTCTCCCCGAGGTGCCCGGGCAATACAAGGTGGAGGTCTCGGGGAGTGGCTGTGCATATGTGCAGGTGAGCCGTGGGGATGCTGGGGTGCTTGCTCCAAAGGTGCCGGTGGGCCTGCTCCATGATCCGCCGGGAGGGGGAGGTGAAGAGCATCACTCGATTGTAGAGGAGGAAACTGCGGCGAGCTCTCTCGAGCCCACCAAACAACCAAGATTTAACGTAACAGTGGCTCGGGAAAGACGGGAAGTTGTGGGATTGCCTGATCTTGGATCCCGCTGTCCTGCTTCTACATGTTCTATTCAGAATGGTTGCAACATATCGATAACTGATCACTCACTATTTTGGAATAAAACCAAATTGACGTGACATCAAAATCTTTGTGGTGCATTACAACAGTAGAAAAATGAGAGTATACTATTTTAAAGGTAATGTTGTTACTAATACAGCACTGAATACGTGGGATAAATACAGTAGTAACATCTGTCCTGGTGTCTCCCCAGTAACTGCTGTTTTAAAAGGGCCAGACTTCAGTTGCATCAGTCCCTGGGGGAACTTCAGCTTGTGAGAAAAGCACCATCATTTGGATATCAAAACCTCATTTGCAGTAACACGCTTGAGTTAGAGCAAAACCTGGTGACCTTGGGCCAGTCACGGTCTCTGAGCTTAATCTTCCTCTCAGGGTTTTTAGCCACAGTAAGATGAGGAAAGAAGAACCACGGATGCTCCCGGAGGAAGAATGGGACAGACACATCCTAGAGACAAGCTTAGTGTTATTGCTTTTTTAAATGCACAAATATATCTTAGAGCGCCAGCTGGATTTGAATGGTTGGATATGGAGGAAAAAATATTTTAAAAAATGAATGGAATCCTGTTGGGACACTAAATGTGATACTATTAACCATCTATAAAATAGCCAATAGCTCCAGAATGTAAAATAATGTCAGAGATTTTTAAACAAGCAAACGATATGGTTAATACTTGGATGGGAGACCAGTAAGGGAGTCCAGGGCTGGTACGCAGAGGCAGGCAACGGCAAACCACTTCTGAACATCGTTTGCCTTGAAAACGCTGCAGGGTGGCCGTTGTCAGCTGCAACTTGACCACACTTTCCACCACCATAAACATATTGTTTGTTTGTTTAAAAGCAGAAAACATTTATTTTAAAATAACCCCGCAGTGGCACTTTAGCGATCGGAAGTGCCTGATATGCCCCTGATCCTGCCCACAGTCATTGCTCTGAAATTAACGGGGTGCAGGATTATCCCTGGGAACACACCAGCCCTGACTGCCCATCTCCCATGCCACAGGCTCACGGGACGGCCACTTTGGCCCCAGCATCCCCCCCCCCAAAAAAAAAAAAAACCCCTGATGATGTGGGAGGACTGGCGATTCTTAGTCCGGCAGCTTTCCTCAGGGGCCGTTATTGTCTCCGGGCAGCCCTTAATGCCTTCCGTATTCAGTCTCGCCGCTCACCAGTCAGCAGGAGCTCAGAGTCTGAAATATTTCTCTCCCATATAGAGCACTCTTCGCTATAACCAGCCACCTGAAAAACGTGACGCTTTTACTCTGAGCGTGGAGACTTTGCCAAAGGAATGCAACCAGACTACCAGGAAGTATTTTGATATTCACCTACGAGTGAGGTACTGTACTTGGGGGGAATGGGGGTGGTTCCTGGGGAGCTCAGACACCAAGCTGACGGGAAGCAGTTCGGGGAGCATGAATATTTCTTTGCCAGTTGTCTAAAGGAGCCTTCTGTTCCGCAGTGGCAGGTGGCAAAGAGAGAGGGTGAGTTGAGAGTTGGCTTTTTATATCCCACTCTATACTACCCAGGGGTCATTTCGTAGAAAAAGAGGTGCAGGAGCTCATTAGCATAACTCATTAGCATAACTTATTTGCATGTGCCACACCCCCTGACATCACCGGAAGTGTGTCAGAAGGCAACACCCACCACTCAGGACCCACTGGACTGTTTTTGGTTGCTAGCTATTGGGGGGGGGGGGAACATGCAGATCTGTCCTCACAGAGGAGGGAGAGCTTGTACCTGAATAAAACTTGGTCTTAAAGGTGCCACTGGACTGTTTTGGACTGGGGGAGGGACTCTGCAACTTACCTGGCTGCTTCTTGCTCTGACTGAGGGCTGCTGGAAGCAGGGGGTTGCATGTGCCCGCCCCCTGGGCTCTTTACTGCCGGAGCTCCGCTCCTGTGCGCTTCTGCAGGAAATGACCCCTGCTAGTTGGTACCTTATGGCTGTTCCCCTGAGAGAAATAAGTGACAGAAACACCCTTTGCCAAGCAACAGAAACACTTTTTCCCTGGTGGTGACATCATAGCCTCCCTGCTGACATCCACCGATTGTGAAGCAGTATGCCACTGATGCCCCCATGACAGGCACGCATGGATGCAGCCAACCAATGCAAGATGATGGGGCTACAGCCCTGTGGTGTTGGGCCTTGATCACCCATAAATGTGGAACATACTGGGTGAGGGCGACCCCTCATGGGGTTTTCAAGGCAAGAGATGAGCAGAGATGGTTCGCCATTGCCTGCTTCTGCGGAACAACCCTGGACTTCCTTGGCAGTCTCCCATGCAAATGCTAACCGCGCCTGAACCAGTGTTCCCTCTAAGCTCCACAGTGTTGTGAGCAGAAAAAAGCTAGTGGCATTAAAGTTGTGAGTGGGTCTACATTTAACTATCACGTAAATTAGTTTTTTAGAACTAATTCAATTCAACTAATTTAGAACTAATTTTTAGAACTAATTCAAGTTTTCTATAAACTTGAAAAAAACCTCAAAAGTTTCCATAAACTTGAAAAAATCTCAGAATAAATTATTTTAAATTATATGCAAATTATATTTTAAGAATAATTAAAATACTATAAGAGAAAACAGAATCAAGTCAAATTTCACCCACCCTTTTCCAGCATATTGGTAGACCTGGCCTCCGGAGAACAGGTCTACCCAGCCCTTTCCACCGTATTGGTAGACCTGGCATCCGGGGAACAGGTCTACCTGCCCCAGTCGACTGTATTTGTTAGACCTGGCCTCAGACCATTGCCCTGTGCTAAGCCTTAGAAAACATACCAGCACTTAGGGTGGAAAAAAACCCTCTTGCAGTCTACTTTGGGTTTTGTTAGTGAAATATGACAACCAGCATTACAGGTCAAGTATAACAGAGGAGGAACAATCACTGTCAGAAACCTGCCTAACCTAACAGTAGCTTGTTTATTTATTTGTTTATTTATTTACTTATTTATTCAAATACTAGGAAAAAGGCCCGTTGTGGAAATAAATACAACAATCTCTAGAAAGAGGCTCTGGGTGGGTGCCCCGGCCTTGGACACGCAGTGTCAATTTGCTGTGACAACCTCAGCAGGGTATAATGACACTTAGTCCACCATTTTCTCCAGAGGAACTGATCTCTGCTACCTAAAGAACAGTTGTAATTTTGAATGATCTCCAGCCCTCACCTGGAGATTGGCAACGATGGATCTTCGACGTGGTCTCTGTGTTTTACACCCATGGGATCTAGTGCGCACGCGCTGGATCAATCAGCATTGTAGCAAGCTCTTAACGGATTTTCACGCCCAGACCTCGGGCATGCGCAGGAACCCCACCGCGCATGCCCAGAGGGGTGGGCACGGACATCCCGCCAGTTCCTTTCTTACCGCCGCGTTGCATGGCTCACTTGCCACAAGACAGCGGCAGACATCATTTACCTAGCCAATGTCGTCCATACCCAGCCTTCAGTCACAGCTTTCCAAATTCAGAGGCTACTTAGCCTTATGGCTGCAACTACATTGGTCCTGGTCTTTGCCAGATTAAAAATGTGTCGCCTACAACTGTGGTTTATCCACTAGTTCGACCCAACGGAAAACGCACATACCACCGTCCTAACCCCTCCTCCCAATATACGAGATTCTTTACTTTGGTGGACTGTCCCTTCCAATCTCTTCCAGGGAGCACCCTTCCATTATCCATCACCCCAAATCACCCTAACCACAGATGCCTCCCTGTCAGGCTGGGGTGCCCACATGATGGGTCTTTGTGTCGGAGCCAAGTGGAACACTCACAAACAAAAACGACACATAAACTTCCTGGAACTGCTTGCAATACAGTTCGCTGTCACGAGTTTCCTACCTCTGATCAAGGGGAAATGTGTTACGGTCCTCACGGACAATACTACTACACTCAGTTATGTCAACAAGCAAGGAGGCATGGTCTCCCTACGCCTTTACAACCTTGCCATCCAGTTATGGGACCTTTGCACCGCCCACGACATCTTCCTAGTCGCCACACACATCCCAGGACACATGAATGTGCAGGCAGACCATCTAAGTCGACCCAAATTACCTTCTACCACTCTTCCGCAGATGGGGAGTTCCACAAGTCAATGTTTTTGCCACCACAGCCAACAAAAAGTGTTCTCTGTTCTGCAGCCAAGGCGGCAGGGACCCACATTCTCTAAGGGATGGTCTCCTCTATCCGTGGTCCAGGGAACTTCTCTACCTCTTCCCTCCACTACCCCTGCTTCTGAGAGTAGTCCGCAAAATCATCAGCGACGGAGCGGACTGCA